CTAAAGTGAAATGACAAAAATGCCCTATGAATTTTTCAGCAATTAGTAAAATATATATTGTACATATTTATTTTTTAAAACTTCTCAACTCTATAATTAATTTAATTAAACCAAATTTTATTACACAATTATTTTTTTTTTTTTTTTGTGTAGTTATTTTTAATTTTATAAACTTATTTATTAATAATTTTGTAATTACAAAATATAAACAGAAATTAAACATATATTGTTGTATGAAAAGATTTTATATGTTTTATATTTTTGTTATATTACATTTTAATTTACATTAAAAAAAAAGGTTAAATACAAAAACACCCATGTACTATGAACTTTGTATCAAATACTACTACATATAAATACAACAACCCCCTTCACATTACATTTTTTTCAAAATATGACGAAAATACCCCTACTTAGACTATAAACATAAGGGTTTGTTTGAGCCATTTTCCACTATATTATTAACATTTTCGGTCAATTTTACTTGGCAAATTTTGATATTTATATTTTTTTCTCCAAAACATTAAATTACTTAGTTTTTTTTTTTCCTCAATAAAACCTTTTATTTTTGTCATTTTGAATTTCTTCATTTATTTTTTAACTGTCTTCCGGTAGTTCAAATTCTCAACAATCATAGGATTGTAAAGATGTTTGTAATCTTATGATGTTTGAACTACCGGAAGAAATTTAAGAAAAGAAAATGAAGAAACTCAAAATGTCAAAAATAAAAGATTTTTATCAGAAAATTAAAAAAATCTAAGCAATTAGATGTTTTTGAGAAAAAAATATAAATACCAAAATTCCCCACGTAAAATTGACTGAAAATGGCTCAAACAAACCCTTATATACATATATATACTTAAGTAGGGGTATTTTCGCCATATTTTGAAAAAAATATAATGTGAGGGGATGTTTGTATTTATGTGTAGTACAGGGGGTATACGATACAAAATTCATAATGCAGGGGTGTTTTTGTATTTAACCCTTAAAAAAAAGAAGAAGAAAAAAAAAAACAAAAATAAGTCTTCTTCTTCCCCGCTCCACCCCACCCCACCCCGGGGAATACGATGCTACACCCGGTGATTTTCACCGGGTGGCTCTTTTCTTGACATGTACGTGTTCTTTTTTATTTATTTTATAATTATAATTCTAAAACCCATTGGGCCATAACTGAACCCGTAGTGGGAATCTTATTAATTATGGTGCCTGGTTATATTCACCAGGTGTAGCATAGAATTTCCCCCCACCCCACCAACCACCCAAATCAACACTTCTTCTCCCCCACGCACCTTCCCCACCATCGGCTCACCTTTCTTGCACCCCATCTTCGCGTAGTACAATTTCTCCTCCAATTCCACTCTTCCTATGGCAGCCCATATCTGCAATTTGAACAAAGGCGGCGACGACGGCGATTATGTGCTGGAGAAGAAAAATCTTACCTGTACACAACTCTCTCTCGCTAAGAAATGGGTGGTGCCAAACGGCGGCGGTGACTAGGGAGAGAAATTTGAAGGAGTAGGTGGGTAGCGGTGGTGCGACGGGCCAGAAGGCGGCGGTGACAAGGGAGAGAAATTTGAAGGAGTAGGTGGATGGCGGTGGTGCGAGACAGGCCAAAGAGCGGCGGTGGTGCTAGACGGGCCAGAAGACGGCGGCGATGCCGAACTTTTTCTAGGTTGGGAGGTGGGCGGCGGAATGGAACGAGGAAGAAGATCTGAAAAAAAATTCAATTTTTGTTCCTTATTGCAATTTTGGAAATTTTAAAATTTACAATTTGGTCCTATAAATTATAGTTATTTATAATTTGACCACTCGGATTTTTTATTTTATTTATACAGGGGTATCTATGACATTTCACCCTAGAAATAACATAAAAATTCGCAGAGCCCGCGAGTGAGAGACACGATTTGCCTTAAGGGATCTTGATGCATTGACTTTGGTTACACAGGGGGCATTGGTGAGTTTTTTTTAAGGGGGTATTTGCCAATTAGTAATTACAAAGGGGAGGTATTTACAATTTGCTCAATTATATTGTACTGAATTTGTTGGAGAGAAAACAAATAAATCACCATCTCAATTCTCATCAGTTCCACCACTATCAATTGGCTTACAAGGTCCTTGTGGCTATCCGGGTTTCGATCTAAACTGCAACAACAAAAATGATACTGTTCTTGTGCTTCCCTCCTCTGTAAATGTTGTTGTGAAGGAAGTCAACTATAATTTAGCCGAAGTCAACTATAACTCACTCATCAGTTAGTTATATTAAGGGTTAAATACACTTTACACCCTTAAAGTATGACTATTGTAACACTTACCTCCCTGAAATATCACTTGTAACAGTTACCCCCCCAACTATTATTTAATTAGGGCTTGTTTGGTTACCGCTATAAGGTTCTACTGACTAAATAGTATGGGCTAATAACATGTTCGGTTGGTAAGATTCACACTTTTTCAAACCTGCTACTAAATTCAAAGCCCGCTATTAAATGCTACTATTTCATTAAATTAGTAGCACCCCTCCCCCTGAGATTAATTTAATAGGGGGTGACTAAAAAAGAAAAATACAATTTTATCCTTAAAATTATATTTTATTATTGTAAATTAAGTGGTTTTATAGACAATTCATAAATAATAACTGATTTTAACAAATTTAATAGAAAATCTAATCTAAGAAACCGAACATGCTACTAACTAAAAAATTAAGGGAAAAGTTCATTTTACCTACCTGAACTATACCCAACGTGTAAAATACCCCCCTAAACTTCAAAATGAATCAAAACAGCCCCTCCCATTTATTGGTCAACGTTAAATACAGCAAAAAAATTGACACCGTTAGTTTTAGAGTAAAACCGTTAGTTTTAAGGTGATTTTACATATTTACCCTTAGCATCTTCTTCCTCCCTTCTCTTCTTTTCCTCTTTCCTTTTTTCTTTTTTTTCTCCCACCCCCATCTGTTCTGCGGACCAGCAATACCCATCATAAAAAAATCATAACTTCCTTCTCTCTCTCTCTGAATCACCTGAAAACCTATTTAACACCAACCGTTTTCAGATTCGAATCAATGGGTTGGACTCATCTATTGCGCAATCGTCTCCACAAACGGGTCAAAAAAGATTACCCTCGAATCCACGGCGGCACCACCTTTCTTTCACCACCACCACCACCGTCATGGGTCTTTCCATCTCCTCTTGCAACTTCTTTTCTCGCAACCAAAACCTCCAAGAAATTCAAGAAGAAACGCAAAAAAGATGAGGCGATTTCAACAAAGTCCCAAATCTGAAACCCTTCCATTTGTGAGTTGGGGAGAAAAAATCAGGGTTTTGATTACTCTGTTTGTCACCTTGAATTAGCCAAGCCATGAGAATGGAAAAAATGGAAGTACCCAGACATTAAAGTCTACAGACTACAATCCAATTTATTATTCTTCATTCAAGTTTATGAACGTTTGCTGTATTCAATTTCTGGCAAAATAAAAGAAACAGAAGAATATATATAATATATATATATATATATATATATATGTATATATATACACACACGCACACACAAATAGATAAAATAGATTTAAGGGGTGAAAATGTCAAATCCAATGCAAAATATGTAAAAATAATTATAAAAGCAAAAGTCAAAGTGCCATGTCACCAAAGGCACACATATTTTAAAGGGAAGGGCTATTTTGATGCATTTTGAAGTTCAGGGGGTATTTTATACCTTGGGTATAGTTCAGGTAGGTAAAATGAACTTTACCCAAAAATTAATTAGTCAATAGGGAGTTAATCCAATCTCATGTAATCCAATCTAATCCAATATAGGTAACCGAACGAGCCCTTAGTATATTAAAATTAAAAAGACGCAAATACCCTTATACTTACACATTATTTACTGAAGAATTTAATTGGAAAAAAACTATCTCAACTAACTGAACAATGCAATAAATACTATATAAATATAAAATGTTTATCTAGCTAGGTGGCACTCGAATAAATGCTTAAAGAAAAAAAATAAACATGATTGAATTAATTTATTAAATAAGTTGAGAACAAAAATTATTACATACATCCAAATTTTTACAATTGGAAAAGGCTAGGATCGAATTTTTTTTTTTTTGATTTCGAGTTTTGTTTATTGTGGGTGCATGATATATTAATTTGTTTTTTTTAACAATACTCAAACTGTAAATTTGAATTTTTAATTAGTTGAATTTTCTTGTAAAAAACGTGAATCAATCTTTTTTTTCTTTAAATTATTTCATTCAATAAGTTAGGATGATTTTAAAATAAAAATTAATGTATTGGCATTTTCAGTTATTATTTTTAATTAGATAGTTAAAATAAAAATAAAATATGTCAGCCAATAATAAATAATAATTTAAAGGGTATGAGTGTCATTTCAAATTTAATGTGCACTTTCTATAAAAGGTAAGGGGATAAGTGTTACATTATATACTCCAGGGAGGTAAGTGTTACGAGGGTCAGCGGCGGATCTACTATATGTCTAGGGTGTGCAGCTGCACACCCTTGAAATTAAAAAAAAAATATTCCCTATATATATATATTGTTATATTATATTATATGTGATTATTTAACCAACGTAATTGGTAGTTCACTTGGTAAGTAGCTTTAATCTTTTGTGAAATGTCATAGGTTCGAGTCCCAAAATCATCAAATTTTTTATAGCTTTTCCAAAACTCTACAAATCCATTTATACTCACATTTTCTCTCTACAAATCCATTTATACTTAACATTTTCTTTCATTTTTCCAAAATTTACTCACATTTTCTCTCTACAAATCCATTTATACTCTAACATTTTCTCTCATTTTTCCAAAATTCTACAAAAATTGCAATTGGTCTTAAAATTTCGATTTTCCTACATATTAATATTATTTTATGCTGGTATTATTATTATTAAAAAAAAATCGGGGGCGCTGGCCCCGAACCCCCGTAAACTTTCGCACCCCCTTGGCTAAATTCCTGGATTCGCCACTGACGAGGGTCATACTTTAAGGGTGAAAAGTGTATTTAGCCTTTATATTAATATTCAATTTAAGGTCGAGATTCCGGTATTCGAAATGGAATTCCGATGACAAAATTTTATCTCCAGCGATAAAAATCATAAATATATGATTCATAAAGTAGAAAATGAGGGGGAGAGGAATGACCGAAAGAAGGGGGAGAAAGTGGGAGAAAGAAGAAACAGAGAAAGAGAAAGAAACGTGAGGAAAGAGAGAGAGAGGAAAGAGTAATAAATAACCGTGATGTTTGTTGGGAAAGGAGAAAGAGCGGAGTAGAAAATGGAGAGATAATCTGAAAAAAATAAGAGAAATAAGGTAAATGAAGAAAAACATATGGATAAAGAAGAAGATGTAGAAAGAAAAGGCAGTAGCCTAATACCAATAAGGCTAGGGGTCCAACAATTCATAATACCCGTTTTGGATTTCCTGACAATATGTGCAATTATAAAATGGGTAAATTACAAACACCCCCTGAGGTATGGTCAAATTACAAAATTCCCCCTCTTGTTTGGATAATTACATCTACCCCCATCAACTATAATGTTTTCTTACACCTCCACCCTTATTGTGCCAAATTCAACATAATCATCTAGATTACATGGAATGTGCTCTAGTTTGTACTCGTTTTGTGTAAAAATACAGTTTCCGATGCACCACAAACTGATATATATAAGCTAAAAATCGCATATTATGATCATTTTGCTTCATAATGTAGAGTTTGAATGGGATAAAACGGGTACACAAGTGATAATATTCCATATAATCTCGAAGATTCCACTAAATTTTAGGAGTTGAGGGGGTGATTGTAATTATCCAAACAAGAGGGGTGTTTTTATAATTTGACCATACCTCAGGGGGGTGTTTGTAATTTACCCTTATAAAATTGATCTGGCTCTGTTATTGTGTTTTAAGCGGGTTATCCCTCATTTTCCCTGTAAAATATTATGTATTTCATTATTTCATAATTTTTTTAAGTACCAAATGGCAAATATTGCTTTATAATTTATAATTTAATATATTGAAATCAAATAAAATGCAAACAAAATATATTAAAATAGAAAAAACTTATTAAAAAAACAAGAAAAAAAAGATGTTAGGGGTAATTCTGTCATTTCACACAAAAAATGAAGAAAATTCGCAGAACCCACGAGCGAGACCTACGATCTGCTAGGACCCCCTTGTGTTATGACAAACCTGCACCAAATCCCCCTGTGTTCTTTTTATTGCGTAAAACCTCCCTGTATTTCATTTTTTCTTGCATGAAAACCTCATATCTGTTAATTGTTAACACTGTTAACTAAAAAGAGGATTTCTGCAGGTTTTAATGTAACATAAGGGGGGTTTGGAGCATGATTTTGCAACACAAGGGGATCTATGGATAATTAATTTATTGATTTAAAGTTCAATTATTTTCTCAAATTATTTATGTTCTTTTCACAATAATTAATCCACAATAAATTATAAAAAAAATATAATAATTCTAATAAAATAATATACTATAAAAAATCAAAAAAGTTAATAAATTATATCATATAAAAATTGATTTTTTTTTGAAACATTCACCATGTACACCTATTAAATTTCTATTTGTCATATTGTAACTGAATAAATGTGCTCGAATTAATTTAAGAAAATAATATGAAATTTAAACGAATAAATTAATTATGCATACAACCCCCTTGTATTGTAGAAAATATGCACTAAATCCCTCTCTATTAAAAAAAAAGCATAAAATCTTCTCTATAGTTAACGGCGTTAACTTTTAACGGATAAAGAATTTCGTGCAAAGTAAAATGAAACACAAGTGGGTTTTACGCAATGTGTGGGGAAAATTACAGTTTATGTCCCTAAACTTTACCACTAAAACGATTTATGTCCTCAAACATTTCAATCCACGAAATATGTCCTCAAACTTGCCACTTTTGATCACTTTATGTTCTGCCGTTAACGTCGGCAGCTAACTTCGACGGAAATAGCACACGTGGCCGTTAAATGTCGAGCTGTACAATACCCAGTGCCTACTTGGTCGATGAAACGTGATGTGGAGCGACACGTCATTCTCCTCCCCTATTTCTATTCTAAAATCCATAATTCTCCATATCCCCAATGAACCCATAAATCCAATCCCTAAAACCCCATTTCGAAACCATCAATTGAGATGAAATTCGAAATAGCAGAATCGTCTGTGAATCCATGGCTATTTTTCGTGGTGTTTTACCTGCGAAATAGCCCAATAAACAAATGCCGAATGTTTCATTGATTTTACTTTCATCTTCGGGCTGAAAATTCATGTATTCTTCCACTTCGTTGGGGAAGTCGGGGAGCTAGAATCCGTTCTTGGGCACTCTATTCTTGGCGAAAAAATAATTATATGCAGCTTTGACAAGTGCTGCATGTTTTTTTTTTCTGGAATTGGTTCAGACATTTTGTCGAACACCTTCTGGGCAGGTTCTAAAACTGCAGAATTTGGTAGAATTTGTGCCATCTTCACCATCCTTGTGCTCGCTTCATCGAGACCACAAGGGGCACAAGCATCAACAGGTGAAAAATCATAAGACCCCAACGTTCTAGAGACGGAGTTGGGAGAAGAATTAAAGCTTCCTCTAATTTTTTTTGCACGTGAATCTGTTGTTCTTTGAGAAGGGAAAAACTCTTCAAATGTGAGAATGTTTTGATTTTTTATGAGTTTATGACTTCGATTTTAGTATGGGTTCGAGCAAGAATGGAGCTTGAATTGAAAATTTGGGAATGGGAATGTAACGTGATTTGGAATTTGGGATTTGGGAGAGTGAGTTAGAGCAAATTAGTATATTCTTGTGCCACGTCAACATTTAATATTCAATATATTATTCCACGTCACATTTAACGGCCACATAGACGTCACGTGAGCCACGTGTGCATTTTCCGTCGAAGTTAGCTGCCGACGTTAACGGCAGAACATAAAGTGATCAAAAGTGGCAAGTTTGAGGACATATTTCGTGGATTGAAATGTTTGAGGACATAAATCGTTTTAGTGGTAAAGTTTAGGGACATAAACTGTAATTTTCCCCAATGTGTGAATGTAGTTTGTTTTTTCGTTAAGAATAATTGAGCAAATAGTGAATTCAACACAACTAGGAAATGCAGTCAACTCAACTTGTATGGAGGAAAATTCAAGTCCACCAACTACTTGCACAGGAAAATGATTGATATCACATTTTCTAAAAGAATTAATATACTTGTTTGAAGAAACTATTGGAGCAATAAAAAGATTTTTGGAGGATATATTGATGGGTGAAGATTGATGTGTGTGTGTGTGATACGATATATTAATATATATATCGTTTAATTATTAGATAGTTAGTATTTTTATTATTAATTAATTAGAATAGTTTGTTTAGGTTTATTATATACATAGCCGTGTGTTTAGGTTAGGATAGATATTTAGTATTTTATTAGTATAGGTAATTAATTATCTTTCCTAGTTAGATTAGGATTCTAGGGTTTTATTCTCTTTAAATAGTCGTATTGTGCTAGGGTTTTAGAATGCAGAGAAATAATAAAGAAGAGTTTTCTTACGTTTCGTAAAGAATTCTTATGATACTCAAGAGATCGCATCAATTGGTATCAGAGCAAAGTTGCGATTAACACCAACGCTTCGTTAGCAAGGCAGCGATTATATCAAAGCTAAGCTGGAGCAAAGTTGAGATCACATCAAAACTTTGTGAAAATTATGATGTCAGAAACAAGACGGTTGGAGCGATTGGAGAAATCCGTGGAGAAATTACGGATTGATTTTCAGAAATTGCTCGAACAAAGTCAAGGACGACGTCAACGCCATCACAAAAGCCGAAGGGACCGCCGCCCGTCACCGCCACTGCCGATGCCGCTGCCGAGCCTATTCCCGGAGGAAGAGGAAGAGGACGACGATGACTTTTTCGAAGATCCACTGCCGCCGCCAATGCCAAGCCTACCGCAAAAGGAAGAGGAAGATGACGACAATGATTTTTTCGAAGAACCCCAATTTTTTGTGAGTTCGCCGAAAGATGAATTATCGGATTCACTTGAGGTAATTTGGGACGAAGAAGAGGAATTAACTAAGGAAGAGAACGAAGAACTACAGTGGATATTGGGAGATTTCCATAGTGTGCAAAAGAAAGGAGACGAACAAGATTTGGTGACTTTGAATGAGCCCCGATTTGTAAAGCCGACTGAGAAAAATAAAAGCATGATATTGATTGTGAAGGAGATGAAATTTGAAAAGGCAATTGAGAAGGTCGATTTGTCGGGAAAGAGATTGAGAAATTTAATTCGGGCAGATAGGTTTATCTTTCGAAAAGAGCTCGATTTTTTATCGTGTTTTTTGGAGTTAATTCGGAAGCAAGTCAATAAACAAATCGATGAAGTCAAACATAGGTGGAAACGCAAGGAAGAGGGACCAAATTGACTCGAACCTTGAGGACAAGGTTCATTTCAAGAGGGGTGGTTTGATACGATATATTAATATATATATCGTTTAATTATTAGATAGTTAGTATTTTTATTATTAATTAATTAGAATAGTTTGTTTAGGTTTATTATATACATAGCCGTGTGTTTAGGTTAGGATAGATATTTAGTATTTTATTAGTATAGGTAATTAATTATCTTTCCTAGTTAGATTAGGATTCTAGGGTTTTATTCTCTTTAAATAGTCGTATTGTGCTAGGGTTTTAGAATGCAGAGAAATAATAAAGAAGAGTTTTCTTACGTTTCGTAAAGAATTCTTATGATACTCAAGAGATCGCATCAGTGTGTTGAAGGACTGAGTCTTCTTCACAATAATTAAACAAGTAGTCTACCGTTAAATTTACGCTTGTGTGAGTCGAGTAATTCAAAAGGGCAACACCACACCAATCACCATCCGAGCACAACTATCACATAACAGGTCATGATTAAGGAAATAGTCGAGTAATTTCCGTCAAATTATACTGTAATCAATTTTTTATTTTTGGAGAAAAAACATATAAATCACTATCTCATCAGGTCCACCACTATCAATTGGGGGATACAAGTTTCTGTATTGGTGTTATTAAATGGAGAAAATAAAACTCTAGTCTGCCAATTTGAATTACATGCACATAAATAAAAATTAATAATGTCTTCCTTTATTTTCTTGCTTTTGTTATTTCCACTTGTTGCAGTAGTAGTAGTGCAAGGAAACGGTGATGATTGTACGCCAATCAGATGCAGTAAACATAGCCCAATAATTCGGTTTCCTTTCAGACATCAAACTCAGCAACCTCAGCACTGTGGCTATCCGGGTTTCGATCTAAACTGCGACCACAAAAACAATGCTGTTCTTGTGCTTCCGTTCTCCGTAAATGTTGTTGTGAAGGAAATCAACTATGCATCTCAAACAATTCTTGTTTATGACCCAGAAAATTGCCTTCCACAAAAGCTACCCCATCTAAACTTATCTACCTCATCCTTCAACTTCCTTCTTGATAAGTACTTAATATCAGACTCTGCCATTTTTAAATGTTCTGATGCAGACAAATCTTTGTATCGCTTCATTCCTTGCCTTATTGATCCCATCAACAAATACTATTTTGTTTCTAACACAAATTTATATCTATTCGCTTCTTGTACAAAGATTCATGATATTTCAGCTGGTATTCCATGGAGTATATCCGATAAAAAGGGCTTCCGTTTGGGGTGGTCTGAGCCAACATGTGGCCACTGTGAAGCTCAAGGCAAACGATGCAGCTTATATAATTCAACCAGACTTGATAGTATTCACTGTATCGAAAAACAACCAACCATAATTCATCATGGTACGTTTTATCTCATCCCATTTTTCAATTGGAGCTTATTGCATTTACTACCTCTGTGAAAATCGCTTCCTCTGGTCATAAAAAAATTAGCAAAAATTCCCTGTATTTATTTTTAAGACAACATACTCGACTCATTTATATTTTCTCCATTGACCGATTGTAAAACGACCGAAATACCCTGGGAGTTTATGCAAAAAAAACTAGGGGACCAAATTGAAGTTTTGAAAAATTTAATCAAATAATTCAGGGGACTGAATTGTAATTTTTTGAAAATGCATTATATTGTGAAATATTATGTATTTCTTTATGTCATATTTTGACTCACTGGCTCGGGCCAGTTGACTCAGTAGATGATCGTTCTCGGCTGGCCTGGGGTTGGTTGAACAACTGTCTGACAGACTCTTCTACACTTTTCTTTTTTTAATTTATTTATTTCAATTTTATCTTAAAACACAAAAACGATTAACTAATTTGATACATAACATTTAGTGAATTATTTTGTAATTTTTGTTTTGAAAAAAAATGTATATGAGAAGTATTTTTATTTGTCATGCTAAATCCCACACTAAAATTTACTAAATCACACACATAAATTAAAAAAAATCTCTCTCTAACTTTTTTCTATGATGATTTCTTCCAAGTCACTCAAAATTCGTTAATCTTTCACGTGAATAATCATAAAAAGTGAGTTTAGGTTTATTTAATTTTTTTCAATTTCATTATGCCTTTTTAATTATTTAAATTCATATTAATTCGAATTTTTTTCTCAAATTCCAACTTTATTTTAGTTGGAACACATGAAGATTTTTCTCAAATTCGAACTTGGAATGATATGGACGTTTTTAGTGTGTGATTTTGTGAAAAAGTTAGGGAGAAAGAAGAAGGGTGGGGAAGGAGAAGATGAGATTTTAGAGAGAGAAAAAAATTCAATTGTTTGTATGATTTGGTAAAATTGGTGCGGGATTTAGCATATCAGTTTTATAAATACCAAATTTTGCTTTAGAAATATTTATAATTTAATAAATTTAAATCAAAGAAAATGCAATAAAAATATATTGAAAAAAAAAGATGTTGGGGGCAATTCTGTCATTTCACACAAAAAATGAAGAAAAGTCGCAGAACCCACGAGTGAGACACACGATTTGCGATGAGGGGGGTTGTCGTCTTTCACTAATGAATACAGAGTATTTGCTATTTTTTTAATGACGGGGAAAACACGCAGTTGCGATTTTCATAAGAGTAAATGCAATAAGCTGTTTTTATTCGGTATAGATTATCATTTGTCTAAAGAAATATTTTGCTTGTTGGTTACAGAAGCACTGAAGAAGCGACTGATTGCAGGTAAACAATTTCTATGCTTTTAATAATATTTTATTATTCTAGTAGATGGGTTCAAATCTAACTTATGAATTATGTTTCAAAGGTTTTGGTTGCTTTCTTGCCGTGATAATCCTCGTCGCTCTCGTCCATCAATACATCAGATTTAGAACTGGCAGAGATAATCCAATCAAGATTGAAAAGTTTTTGCAAGATTATCGAGCCCTTAAGCCGAGTAGATTCTCTTATTCTGATATAACAAGGATTACTCATCAATTTCGCGATAAATTAGGTGAAGGGTGCTATGGAGTTGTTTACAAAGGAAAGTTGAACAATGAAATAGATGTTGCAGTTAAAGTACTAAACAATTCCAAAGGAAACGGAGAGGAGTTTGTGAATGAAGTAAGCACGATTGGGAGGATACACCACGTCAACATTGTCCGTCTTGTTGGCTTTTGTGCTGATGGATTTCGAAGAGCTCTTGTTTATGAATTTCTACCTAATGATTCCCTCGAAAAAATCATTTTCCAAGCTGGTTCTAAGAAAATATCTCTTGATTGGGAAAAGCTAAAGGATATTGCGCTAGGCATAGCCAGAGGCATAGAATATCTACACGAGGGATGTGATCAACAAATACTCCATTTCGACATAAAACCGCAAAACGTATTGTTGGACCACAACTTCAATCCGAAGATCTGTGATTTTGGTCTTGCGAAATTGTGCTCAAAGGAACAAAGTGCAGTGACAATGACTGCGGCTAGAGGAACAATGGGCTATATTGCACCTGAAGTACTGTCCAGGACTTTCGGGAGGGTTTCGTATAAGTCCGATGTTTATAGCTTCGGAATGTTGTTGCTTGAAATGGTGGGAGGGAGGAAAAACGAGGATCGTAATGTAAATAATAATAGTCCGGTATATTTTCCGCAGTGGATTTACAATCATATAAATGCGGAGGATAATCCAATGTGGGCACAAATTGATGAAGAAGGAAATAGTATAGCAAGGAAACTTAGTATAGTAGGGTTGTGGTGTATACAGTGGAGTCCGACAGATCGTCCATCAATGAAAGTTGTGGTTCAAATGTTGGAAGGAGACAATGGCGATCTCACAATGCCTCCAAATCCATTTCCAGCTACTTCGAATTCCGTTGGTGCCAGGCACTATCAAACTGAGATGGCTATCATATTAGAAGAGTAAAGGCTATATATATATATATATATATATATATATATATATATATATATATATATATATATATATATATATATATATATATATATATATATATATATATATATATATATATATATTTCTCTTTTATCTTCCATTGTATAATTTGGGTCTATTGATATTTTATCCTTTTTTATGTACCTTTTTTGTTTTGGCAAAAAAATTGTTGTTGTGTGAAATGGGACCTCCTGAAGACCTTGTTTGACGTAACAAGGATAGTGTACTCATAGTTACTTACAAAATCGATCCACATGGATTACATGTACATTCACTAGTCAACATTTGTATAATAATCTTAGCTAATTACTTTTTAAATATGTAACTCATAATTTGGTGGAACTACAGTGCAAGTCTTTCTGATTTTGGATTGGCAAAAGATGAGCCAACTGGAGATAAAGTCATGTTTCGACAGAGTTATGGGAACCTATGCCGTGATGACATTTAGTTTTTTAGATTTGAAATTTTCTTTTCAAGAATGGCATTTTATTGTCACACAAAATTTTTAGCTTCCCGACTTCCACAAAAACAACATTTTACTGTCACACAAAATTTGCTTGGACACTAGCACCGCGCCTTGCGCGGTATTCAGCGATATTGATTTATTCCCTGAAATCTATATTATTATTTGAGGTACGGACAACAATAATTATGAATAAAGACTTAAATGGAAAAACCATAAGGGGAGTTAAAGAAATCTTACTGAGAAAAATACTGAAGATCTCAATTGGCACTCTGAGTCGACTTGCATTTTCAAGAATTCAGTAAGAAGAACAAGAATTTAAAATTGAAACAATTAATTTATATTACTTATAACAATTATGTAGTTGATGAGACAAAATTAACGAATAATCTTACCAATAAAATTTTGCTCAAAACACGTAGCACTGTCGCCATAAAACCAACAATTAAGACGTTCGTCGCCACAGAGCACATTGAACCACGCAAGTTCGAACCCGTACGTCAAACAACTATGGACTTGCGAGAGACTAGACAACGTACTACGCTTCATATTCAACGAAGCCATCACCAATTCACCATTAGATCTACTCTGCACGAATATCCATTAAGAACGAACCGTCAACGCACCGAACTTTATGTACGTAGTACGCCCGTTAAATCTCCGGTCCACACAATTAGGACCATATTCATCAATTTTATAAAGAACAACTGAATTATTATTACTGATGTTATTGACTGTGCCGTTAGGACAACTCATGAAAGTAATTGCGGATGTTATATCGGGGATTTCTCCGACATACCATGAACCCAGGTATATGTTGATGCTGTAAGCATCACCCCCACTAAAATTGTAGCCCGATAGAGAGTTGTTGGGGAAAGAGCAAGTGTCGTTTTCAACTACGGAAGCATCGGTAATGCAAATTGTGTAGTTGGCGTAGTTGATCGATTGTACGAGGTACTTTTGAGAGTTGAGGTATAGTGAAGTTGTATTGTTTTCGCATGAAAGTTCGTATTTGGGATAACCACAGCGTTTTGGATCGGTATTGAGCCTGAAAGGATAGCTAATATTGCGAATTTCGCCACATGAAGAAGGGTACAATTAATTTGGTTTCCACGGGATTTTTGGATGAAATATAATTGGATGGTTGTTGAGTGTAGATTTTACAATCAATACATTTACTTTACGTGAATCTTTTGTTTAGATTTAATTATACTTGTGCTTTAATTGATTGATTTTGAAAAACGGGAATTAAGGGTTCATCAAGGAAAAAAACTCAAAAAGAAAGGAAAAAGTTGCAAATAAGGAAGTAAATCAAATTGGAAGAATGAATCTCGCAACAGGTTTGGTAGTGTCCACCATTTCGAGCATATCTCACTCAAACGAACTCCAAATCACTTGATTTAAGCGGCATTGGAGAGCTAGTTTCAAGGTCAAAATCGGATTCAAAACCGACCGAAGTGCAGACAAAGCTTCGGACGGCCGTCCCAATTTTGTACTAAAATCTGGGACGACCGTCCCATCATCTGAAATTGAGCAGTAGGCTACGGACGGTCGTCTTAAAATGGCCTGAAATCCGAGACAGCCGTCCGAGACCCCTATTTTGCACAATTTGGAAGTTTTAATTGCACAAGGAAGCTCTTCCCTTTTAATCAAGTCTTAACCACTGTATAAACACAATTCAATGGGATCCAATGACGACAAAATTTTACACCACAAAACGTGAGGAACGAAGATCAACGAAGACTCAAGCATAGTTTATCTTATTTAATTTATTTATTTTATTTTGTTTATCATAAAAATCACGAGTAGCTAAGTCTTTAGTTTCTAAGATTTTATTCGAACCCTATGTGGGATTTATGCACAATTTTCTATGATTTTATGCAAATTTTAATTTCGGGTATTTCTTTTACTTGTTTTATTAAATGCATGAAACTTGACACTTTATATGCTTTTATGTTATTGTTAAACGCATGAATCGGAAAATCGGTTTAATAATTAGAACTTTGGTAGAGAACCTTTGATGTGCTATCATAGGAATATAGTTAGCCTCTTAGGTAGCCATTATTGAGATCTATGCTTAATGCTATGTTTTAGATCTAATTACGTAGGAATACATTAATTTAATCTAGAATATTAGAATCGTAATACACGGGGAAACGGGTTATGATTAATTTAGCATCTCAGGTTAATAATCCGAGTTAATTACTTGCATAATTGAAGGATTTGGGAATTAATGATCACATAGGGGAAGATAAAATCCTAGGCTTTTTAATTTGATTAATCTTTGTGTTATTTGCTCTTGATTGTTGTTATTTGCTTTTTAGTAATTTATTTAATTTAGGAATCTTCTCCAAATTAGACTGTGTAGGGTGGGCTTGAAGCCTTGAACATAATTGTGAGAATCTAGTGCTTAGAATTAGATAGTTGAATATTCCCCGTGGGATCGATATCCAGACTTAATTGTCCACTATATTACTTGTACGAAAATGTGCACTTGCGTGTAGGTATTTCAACCAACAATGGTGATGAAGAAATAAATAAATTTGAGGATGAGGCTTTGGCTGAAGGTATACATGTATGAAATTGGTGATTAATTTGAAGAGATGGAGCTAAGTTTGCATAATATGATGTGATGGAAGAGATGAGAGAGAGAAGACTATAGTGTGTGAATGGTGGAATTCTGTTTTTTTTCTTTTAGAATAATTTGAGCAAATAGTTAATTCAGAAGTAGTACGACACCCATCATCTTCGTTGATTCCTCTTATTAAATGCATTAAATTTTGTAGAGGAAATTCAACTACCAACTTGTCACTTGTGTAGTAGTGTAGTAGTGTAGAGGAAAATGATTGATATCACATTTTCTAAAAGAACTGATACAGTTTTCAAACTTGGATCCTTTCTTTCGGTAAATTTTAGAAAATGTTTTAAATGCTATATTTAAATAGGGGTTATTAGTATAACCCCATTCCTCACATATGGGTAAATGAGGACGAATCTCAGTCATTTTCTAATTTTAATGAGAACCCCAATTTATTTGGTTAAATAAACATTCAGCAAAATTATAAAGAAAAAAAATCAACGTCGGAGACCGACGGCCAATGAGTTAACATGTCGGAAAAAAAATCAGAAAAAAATATTTTTTTTCAAGGAATTGTAAAATGGGAGTTAATGTGATATATTTTCTAAAATATTGGGTCAATATAAATATTTGTTAAGTTAGGACATTATGAATTGGATGAAATTAATGTAAATTATATTGTAAGCGATATTTTGAACAAGAGACAAGGGATGGTCTTGATATAATTGATTTGGTCTTGATATGAGTGCAAATAAGTACTCTTTGAGATTATATGCAATTCGCCCATATTAAATAGGGGTTATTAGTAGAATCCCCCACTCATATGGGTAAACGGGGATGAACACCATCCCTTTTCCAATTTTAAGTGGGTTTTTTTTTTTTTATAAATAATTTGAAATTAAGGGTTAATTAGGGAGACCCCTCAAAAAACATTTATGTAAAATATGGGTCCAATCTTTATTTGCCATTTAGCAACACTTTGACTTTTATAATTCTCTTAAATCCTAATGCTATTGATATGCTTATCATATCTTTATAAGACATATATTTTCCACCAAAAACCCTACCCCAAAACATATCTCCGCATTTGTAATCTTCTCTCTCTATCTTCTCTGTTCTCTCTCTATTTCTCTCATTATCTTTGTACTTCTCTCTTCCATCGTTTCTTCTACGGCGACAGACGTGACATCGACGACGCGGCGGCTGTTCGTGCTAGGGTAGACCATGGTTGTTACTATTGTTTGTCATTGGTTGCGTGCGGTGCAAGATGGCAACGGTGCGAGCGGCATCGATCACGCGGCGGCGGTTCATTCTATGGCAGATGGTGGATTTTTGCTAGTGTTTGGCGGCAACGGTTCGTTCTGTGGTAGATGGTAGAATTTCGGTAGTGTTTGGCGGCGGCGGTTCGTTCTATGGTAGATGGTGGAATTTTGCTAGGGTTTGGCAGCGGCGGTTCGTTCTATTATGGTAGATGGTGGAATTTTGCTAGTATTATATATATAAGGGTTTGTTTGAGCCATTTTCACTATATATTTTACCATTTTCAGTCAATTTTATGTGGGAAAATTTTGGTATTTATATTGTTTCCTCCAAAACATCTAATTGCTTAGATTTTTTTAATTTTCTGAATAATTTTTTTTATTTTTGTCATTTTGAGTTTCTTCATTTTTTTTCTTAAATGTCTTCCGGTAGTTCAAACATCCTAAGATTACAAACATCTTTACAATCCTATCATTGTTGAGAATTTGAACTACCAGAAGACATTTAAGAAAAAAATGAAGAAATTCAAAATGACAAGAATAAAAGGTTTTATTCAGAAAAAAAAAAAAAAAAAAACAATCTAAGTAATCAAATGTTTTGGAGAAAAAGTAAAAAAAAATCAAAATTTCCCAAGTAAAATTGACCGAAAATGTTAAAAAAATATAGTAGAAAATGGCTCAAACAAACCCTTATATT